GTGCCGTACGGGAGATTGTGTGGCAGCGGCGTTTGTTGGCTGAATTGGGGGAGGAGCAGCAAGGACCTACCCCACTGTACTGTGACAGCCAGGGTGCCATTGCATGGACTCACGAAGCACATGAGGGTGAAGTGGCATTGGACGAGGAGCATGGTAACCGCGGGTGAAGTTGAGTTGCGCTACGTGAAGACCACGGGGCAGCCGGCTGACATGATGACCAAGAGGCTGGTGGAGCAGCAGCATTGGAAGTGTTGCAAGCTGGCTGGGATGGCTCTGAACTGAGAGAGCAACATATCCTAAGGCCAACAATCCGAGGGGGAGTTTGTTGGTGCAACCCTACGGTTTGCACTCGGCTTGTTGTCCGTGTGCGTGAATGTGTGTGTGTATGGAATGGTATGAGGGCATGGGATAATATATATTTCATGCTTATAATTGTGTGTGAATGTTGAGTCATGATGTCGAGTGTGTGTGTCGAGTCAATAGCGAGTTATCGCTAGACGCGTGTTACGCGGTCGTTTGTGTCTCGCGCGCGGTTTCTATTTTGTCGTGCGCGGTTTCTATTTTGTCCTGTGTCGAACGTTCGGCGTGTCGCAGGTGTGTGCAGCAGACCCATCAAGAACTCAAGGATGAGTTTGTGATGAAGAGCCCGAGCCTTGGTGACAAGCCTCAAGTGATTTCGAAGCTTGCCAAAAGGGTACACCTCAAGATATTGAAGATAGTTACATTACTTTGTGTAGTGTAACATTTCACTTGGTGTAGGCCCTAGTGAAGGGTAGTTTCGAGACCCTTCGTGGTTGGGGACAGTTTGGCACTGTTCCACATCACTGTACCTCGGCTCTTGGGGTTTGTAGGAGCTGGGAGTCATTCCCAACTCGTAACTCTTCCTATCTTGTGTTCTAAGACTATAGTGGCTGCCATAGTACCGTTCGTTCAAACCGACGCTGTGTCGTCAATTCTTTATCAAATCGTGCAATCTAAATTGCTAATTGTAGACGACGTGAAGACGCTCCAGATCCAATTTGAATCAAGTCATTTGCAGCTGTGAGCAGAACGCTATCAACGTTTGAAGCCGCTGTGCAGAAATCCGTCTGTGCTCTCTATCTTTCGTTTTAGGCACATTCAAGCCTATTGTGACTATAACAGTTCCGCTGGTCACTAGACCTAGCGGGGGAAATGCCACTGAGCCGACGGGGCAAACGCTATATACTCATCATGATCGAGCATGGCAGCAAGTGGGTGGAAGTGAAAGCGCTGCCGAGCAAGAATTCGGCAAGGATAGCGGAAGCCTTCGAGGAACAAGTCTTGACGCGGTTCGGAGCATGCGGTGAAGTGCTCACCGACCAGGGTACTGAGTTCCAAGGACACTTCGACCAGTTACTGAAGGAGACCAGAATCACATACCGGAGGACCTCCAGGTACCATCCCCAAAGTGACGGCCTTACCGAGAGATTCGTGCAGACACTGAAGAAGGGGCTGCGGGCGTACGGGGAACAGTATAAGCGGGACTGGGATCTGCGTTTACCCTGGGTGACAGCGGGGTACCGCTTCAGCAGGCAAGCGGCGTTAAGAGACCTCTCGCCGTAATACCTACTCCTGGGGAGGGAGCCGGTCCTCCCTATTGATGCGCCGAAGCTGCTGACCGATACTGTCATGGTGGGGACGGAGGAAGCATGGGTGGCGGTCGCAGAAGCACGGGCCAAATATCTCAGGGAGCTGCTGCCAGCGGCACTAGAGAACTTGCACGTGGCCCAGCTGAGAGATGTGCAGCGGTACAGACAGAGGGGGGGGGCGAGGAAGGAAGGGCGGGGAGAGGACATCCGACCGGGGGGGGAAGTGTATCTCAGAAAGGCCAGAGGAGACCTGCTGGACATAGGCCTCACGACCGAGCGGTGGAGAGTGCGGGACGTCAAGGACTCGGGGGTGATCGTCCTCGTGAGCGCAAAGGGAGAAGAGCGGAGAGACCATGTCACCAACGTGGCCGCGGCCAGGCCCAGGCGGGCCGGGGAAGACGGGGGAACCACCAGGCCGGCGGGCTTCCCTATCCCAGACCGAGCTGATCCATCGGCTAACCCAGGGACCAGGAGCCGAGGAGGGGGCAAGTGAGCAGGACAGGGAACACCAGGAAGAGACCAGAGGAGCAGCCACTGAGGAGCGGGGACGCACGGGTGTGAAAGGAAACACAAGAGGAGTCATTAGATTCCGACAGCTGTCACGCAATTAATAAAGGCAGCAGTAGTTAATGCATATAAGGACCTTGATATAATTGTGTGACAGAGTAGTGTAGAGCCGCTTGGTAGCGAGCCGAGGAATCAGGCGGGAAAGGCCAATGTAGTAACGGCCCCTGAAGCGGGAAAGCCGAGAACAAGAACGGACAGTAGGCAACGGCACTCGTGTGAGAGATACTTAGGGGCGCAGAGGGCCTTCCGGCCTCTGCTTGCTTGTATGTTTTCTCCATTAGCTAAACATCTTTCCAAACCCTAGCTAGAGAAGTCAGTTCAAGCAAGAGCCAGCCGAGCTGTTCGGTAGGTCACGAGGGCCACCTGAGTGAACGCTTTAGTGAGCAGGACAGGGAACACCAGGAAGAGACCAGAGGAGCAGCCACTGAGGAGCGGGGACGCACGGGTGTGAAAGGAAACACAAGAGGAGTCATTAGATTCCGACAAATCTGATACACCCCATACTAAAGCATTGTTGTTGGACACGTTATTTCGTTGTACATACATACCACAAATATACTCAAGCACCCATTTCAATGTCCCTGGTGCTACCAAATCTAGCCGTCACATGTAAAAATTATCGATGGCAAGTTGATGGAATGGTATAAAAATTGACAGTCTAGTTGTAAGAACAAGGAAATTTAAACATATAATAAGACACCATAACAGAACGGCATTCGGAACAAAACAGTAAATAACGCATTGTAGGTGTTTTCTGCTGGCGCTGGCATTCCCAGGCCGTTTCATTGGTCGAGCGTGTCGAGCGTGACGAGGCAGGGTGACGAGAGTGACGAGGCATGGTGACGAGCGTGACGTGCATCTATCTGCTGTCCTCTCTGTCCGTTGCTGCGCTGGATTTTCATGGTCAGTCCCATTGGACGCCCAATAACAACCACACCACCAGGCACAGCTCGGCCTGTCCTATTGGTCGCTTCAGAATTGCAAGCAGCACAGCAAGGCACATCATCTTTTCTGTGCTGTAACGAAACGGTCAGAAGAAAACATGGCAGCAGTACAGCCCACCCCGCCAATGAGATTGCCGAGCCGTGCATCGTATTATCCCTCTAGCACGCGGTTCGACCAGGTTACCAGCTGCGCTGGCAGTCGAACGAGCCTGCCAAAGCATCTTTCCTTTTGCCATCCCCGCCAGCATGTCTCTTGCCACGCGAGGTTTTCTATGCCCCGCTGGTTGCTTCTAGTGGTTTCCAATCCATTCCTGGCGATGCGCGAACCCCACCTCACCCTCCCCCCCTCTCCCACTTTCCTGGAGGTTCACACCCCCAGCACTCGCTCTTCCTTGTTCCCTCCCTCCCATCTTCCTCCTTTGGACGCCTATTACTCCAGCATACCCCGTCGTTCGTTATTCATTTGTTTCTGCTCGGTTGGTGTGTCTGCTCCCGTCAGTCAGCCCCGATGCTAGTTTCCTTAACTCGAGGTACGACTGCCATTTTTTCGTAGATGTTTCGATTATCCTGAGTGTTTCTTTCTGTTTCCGCTTGCCGCTCCAGTAGCACCTTCCCTCTCGTGCGAGTTCCCTGGCTCTTTAATACCGATTCTGCTAGCCACGCAAGCAACACCTGACTCTTGTTGAGCAAGTTTTTTTTCAGCTTGTATTTCGCGTTTTCTTTTAGTCCGTTAATTACAATAGCTGCTACGGTCGGACACTGAAGCGCCAGGTGAGCGATCGTGGTCTGTTTTGCCTTCGATGTTCCGTCTTGTTAAGGTTAAAGCTGCTGAAGTTCATGGGTTTGGTTTCCCTTTTTTTTTTTCGTTCGCTGTCTGTTTATTTCTCTCGTTCACTCCACAGCTACCTTCTCCGCTAACTAATCTCGTAGTTTCACCGGATCGTTTGTGCAGCGCGTTACGCGGATATTTTTCATTGTTAAGCTGCCATTGTCATGATCTAACTGCTATCTTCATCCTGTCGATGTGAAACAGGTTCATTATTGCGCATTCGTGTAACCGTATGTTCGTGCATCTCAAGGTACTCATTAAGTATCTCATTTGACGCTTTAACTCGTGATTGTTCTTGTTGTTGTGATTGCTGTGATGATATTTCGTTGACGAGACCTGCATAGTAGCTAGGTAAACAAACTAGCTGGGTGTGGGGCAGGTTAGTGTCTTACATATAACAGGAGTGCTAGTTGGAGTTTAATTAACTTTCAAGTTTGTATTCTTAATTGTTTATATAAATTATATTGCATTCTGCATATCGTTGAGATTTGAATTAGTATTTTTAACCGACTGGAGAAAGCACTGTTATTATATTCACCGTCCAATCGTATATAATGCTGAATTTGGCCTGTGAGGTAACCCAAATATGGTTACCAGGATACCCCACGATCGTTATTATATTTATTAAACGAAATTTTAGTGTCTCCAAGTGTAGTTCTGTCACGTAACCAAATCAGGTTACCGGGTGGTAACAATAGCGCTCTGCACATTTCCATTGGAGAAGGTTGACGATGGTAAACGGTCGTTCGCAGACGTTCAACCCCACCATCCCGCCATAAATGGAGGGCAGTGTGAATCGCGGTTGACCCCTCGGCTCATTTACCACTGAACCTTCCCCACTCGCGAACTATCGTATACTACCGCCCAAACCCGACACTGCCTCCCCCTTCGCATCTCGTCCTCCAGCGCTCCCAGTCTGTTTCTCGTTTCTCCCCTCGCGAACTCTCTCGTCCATCCCGCTAACCCCCATTCCCTCCACTCCATGCGCTCCCCTGCCCGTCGCCGCCCGTCAGGGACGTGGCTCGGAGGAAGCCGTTACAGCAACCCGCTATGGGAAAAGACCCTCCGCCTCAGCACGCGCACTCCGGTGCGCCCCAATCCGAGCTCCCGTCCCTGCCGCCTCCCGCGCACGCGTGGGGCCGAACCAAGTCGTTCCAGCAGCAGGACTCGGGGAGCGGGGGGAGCTTGGGCAGCGGGGGGGGATTTCGATCATGGTATAATACCAAGGGCGGGCTGCCGTTGCAGGTAGGCTCGCATGACGACGACGCGGACAAGACGGCGAGCGGCCGCGAGAAGAAAGGAGAGTTGAAGCAGCAGGGGCAGCAAAGGTGAGCCCCTGAAAACACATTTACCTGCATCGATGCAGCCCCACCCGCCGTCGTTACAGCCCCCGCCTCAATCGCGCCCGCAGAGCCTCTTCCGCAAGCCGCCTCCGCTGCTGGTGCCCGCGGGGGGGGACGCGAAGCTGGCGGGGAGCAGCAGCACGGGGGGGGGGGCGCGGGGGATGCGGGGGGGAGCGGAGCGGCGCAGGCGGCGGCGGGGGGCGAGTCGCGGATGAAGGGAGTGGCGTCTGTGTTTAAGAAAGGCATGTGGAAGTTCGGGGGGCTGCGGAAAGAAAAGGAAAGCTCCGCCAGCAGTGCCGCACCCTCCGCCACCAGCAACAGCAGCAGCAAAGGGGGGGCGGAAGCGCAGGCGGCAAGCCCCAGGCACTTTTACTCGGGCCCCTTCCCCTTCCCCGCGGACCGGCGCAAGACGACAGAGGCGCGGCGGTCCCAGCTGCGGCAGGGGCTGACGCCGCTGCAGGGCGTAGGCTCTCCGCCGTCGTCGTCGCTCGCGGTGTCCGTTACGTCGGATACGCACAGCACGGACAGCGACGGTGTTACCAGTGGGTTCAATTCGCACGCGGCGTCGCACGAGGTGCTGTCGCCGCTACCCCCGCACGTAAAATCGCCTCTGGTCGGAGACAAGCCGAAGAAGAAAGGGCTTCTAGACTGGGACTTGTTGTCTCCTAACGCCGGCGGCCTGCTCGGGAGTAAGCGCGGCGCGAAGTCGTCGCAGCAGCAGCAGGAAGCGGCGGCGACCGCGGCGGCGGCGCTATTGAGTAGCAGTCGCAGCGGGCGGCACGCGGACTCGCTCGCGGCGCAAGGGCGGGGTGTTAGCAGCGGCGCTATTAGCGGGCCCATACTACCGGGGATGATGCCGGGGCGTCTGGGCAGTAAGGGCGCGGGTAACCCGCCTGCTGACGACAAGTCTCTCGATATAAGCTTCCTGCGATTGCGGCAGGTCGAGTCGCGCCTCTCCGCGCACTTCCCCACCACTCCGCCGTCCGCGGCGGCGGCGGAAAAGCACCCCCTCCCCTCCCCCACTCCCCCGCACGCGGGGCGCGGAGACACCCCGCAGCGCCCGCAGACGCCGGAAGATCCGGGCGGACCGGATTCGGCGCGCAATCGAATCCGAGTGAAGGGGTCCAGCATGAAAGCGGAGGACGAGTCGCCCTCGTTACAGTCAAGAGGGGCGGGCGCCGCCCCTGTTGGTTTTCTTGATGCGCCCGGGGGCAGCATGCGGGGGGGCGGAAGTGGAGGCGCGGGGGATTCTGCGGGGAAGTCAGGGCGAGGAGGCGCGGGTGCTTCCGCGGGGGGAGCGGGAGACACGATGATAGAGGTGGAGGTGGAGGAGATAGGCGAGGGCGGGGAGATTAAGACTAAGACCATCCCGGCGCGGCTCTTAGAAGCCACAGTGGTGCATCAGGGCGCTTCGGGGAGGACAGTATCGGGTCGCATTATGTTGGAGACGGGCGAGGTGATGGTGGTACAGATAGAGGAGGACGACGGACCGCTCTCGCTCGCGCTGCAGGCGGCGCTGCCGCACGCCGCCAAAGGGGAAAGGGAGCGCGCGCGGGATAGGGATAGAGACCGGGAGAAGGAAAGGGATAGGGATAGGGACAGGGAGCGGAGGGAGAAGGGGAGTTTTCGCGGCGGGGATGGCGCGGATAGACCGCGGTCGAAGAGCGGGCGCGGGGGGGAGACGGGCGCGGAAGGGGAATTGCGCTCCCGGTCGCGGTCGAGCAGGGGGGAGTCCGCGCACGAGCACCACAAGCGCGCGCATGGGCTTCGCGGGGAGGACGATTCCCGCCCCCGGTCGCGCTCTGGGCGGGGGAAGGGCGCGGAAGGGGAAGCGGGGGAGGTGCGCCCGCGGTAGGGGAAGAGGCGGTAGTAGGGGACCGACTCGTCGAACGTGACGTCCTGGGAGGAGAGAACACGGCGAGAGGTGGGGTGGTAGAACTGCCACCCTGGGGCGTCAGGGGGGAAACCCAGGAAGACGCAAGGAGCAGCACGAGGGGACAGCTTGTCCGCAGACAAGTCGCGGACAAACGCCCGAGATCCCCAGACACGGAACGCAGACGCATCGCCAACCTTCCCCGTCCACAGCAAAGCTGGGGAGGTCTCCGGCATGGAGACCCTGGGGTGAAGGTTGATCTGGTGCGCCGCGTACCGAACCGCAAACGGCCACAGAAAATGGGGGGCAGCCGCATGCATCATGGACGTACGGGCGACATCCATGATCATGCCAATGCGGCGCTCAGCAATCCCATTTTGCTGTGGAGAGTCCGGAAGCGTGAAGGTCTGGCGGATGCCTCGTGCACGACAGTAGGCTCGCAGAAGGCCAGAGGAGAACTCTCCACCTCTGTCAGAGTGCAGACGCTGAACAGGAAAGTCCGAGCCGAAGCTCCTCCTGAGCTGGAGACGAGCTGCGCGGATCCAGTCGATCAACACCTCAGTGACATCACCCTTGCTGCGCAAGGGGAAGACTGTGGTGTAACGCAAGTAGTCGTCAACCACCAGCAGGAAGTAGCGCTCGTGACCCTGTCCACGGACGCGGGCCGGGCCCCACACATCCATGTGAAGCGTCTGCAGCGGGGCCTCTGTCGGAGGAAACTGGGAGGAGTGAGGGGCAGCCCGCTGCCGCCCCTCGACACAGGGGACGCAGGTAGGGCCAGGCCCCGGAGGAAGGGGAGGGAGGGACCGGGGAAGACCAGAGACAAGGACACGGGAGGCCATGCTTCGGAGACGAAGCAGGGAGGGGTGACCAAGGCGGTGGTGCCAGAGGAGAGTCTCGTGAGACAGGAGGCGACACGAACAGGGGGCAGACTCAGGACCAGACCTGGACGCTGCAGCAAACACCTGACCCGACGCAGCTACCTGACCAGACGTAGTGACTGGAGGAGACGCAGTGGTCAGGGTGTACAGGCTCGACCCCGGCCGACGGGTAAACGTGGCCAGGTGTCGGCCTGTCCGAGCGTCCGTGCAGTGGGTCACCCGCTGACTCGCAGGAGTGAACTGGTGAACCCCCGCATCCTGTAGGTCAGCACCACTCACCAAGTTCGTAGAGAACGAGGGAAGGTAAAGACCAGACAGGGTGCCAGAGGGGGCCGCCGGACACGGGAGGACAGTGGAGAAGTGAGCAAGGACAGGACCCCCAGAGGGGTCTGCCAGAGAGACTGCAACTTGCCGGCTAAGCGGCGTGAGTGTGGTGCGGTCTCGAAAGAAGGAGCGAGAAGCCCCCGAGTCAAGTGTGAAGGTGTGGGAGGCCGAAGCCGACGCAGAACCTGAGAGAGCAGACTCACCAGCACCTGAGGGAGCAGACGCACCTAGAGCAGCAGCCTCGCTAGCACCTAGAGCAGCAGCCTCACCAGTACCTAGAGCAGCAGTCTCAATGCCCGGGTCGGGCGGAAAACACCGGTAACAGTCACCCTCATCACTAATAGTCACAGTATACATGGCAGCAAGAATAGCATCAAAGTCAAGGTCAAAGACAGCCACACCCGCCCTAGACAGCTCACCCCAGCGGGGGATCTCAGTGGCCTCAGGGAACTGGTGACGCCAAGCGTCCGTCAGGCGGCCAAAGCAGCGCTGGGTGGAGTGCGCACCCCCGCACTGCTCACCCGCGCGGTCGCCGGTGCGGAGGACGTAGGTGCACGGACCAGTACCCCCACCCCTCTGGCGTGCAGTGTACCACTTACGGAGCTGCTGAGGGGAGGGGATGTCACGAGTTCGCTGCTGCTGCTGCTGCTGCTGCTGGCGCTGACCACCACCGGAGCCGACCCTCTGCGCAGCGCCACCCCGACCAGCTCCACCTCCTCCGCCGCCTCCTCCTCCACCGCCGCCACCTCCGCTCCCTCCGCCACTGCCGCTGCCGCCTCCGCCTCCACTGCCGCCACCGACACCGCCACCCCCGCCACCACCCCCACCGCCACCCCCACCTCCTCCACCGCGCGCGGGATAGGGATAGAGACCGGGAGAAGGAAAGGGATAGGGATAGGGACAGGGATAGGGATCGGGATCGGGATAGGGACAGGGAGCGGAGGGAGAAGGGGAGTTTTCGCGGCGGGGATGGCGCGGATAGACCGCGGTCGAAGAGCGGGCGCGGGAGGGAGACGGGCGCGGAAGGGGAATTGCGCTCCCGGTCGCGGTCGAGCAGGGGGGAGTCCGCGCACGAGCACCACAAGCGCGCGCATGGGCTTCGCGGGGAGGACGATTCCCGCCCCCGGTCGCGCTCTGGGCGGGGGAAGGGCGCGGAAGGGGAAGCGGGGGAGGTGCGCCCGCGGTCGCGGCATAGCAGGGGGTCGGAGGGGCGGCGGTCCCGGAGCATCCGCGTAGATAGCGCGGAAGATTGGGAGAATGGACGGCCGAGATCGAGAAGCGGGCGGGGGGATGATTGGGGCGGGGAGGGGGAGGGGAAAGCAAGGAGCAAAAGCAAGGGGGTGGCGGAGGGCGGGGAGGGCGCTTTGGAAGGAATAGGGGAAGGTTCAGGGGGGGGAGAAGGGGCAGCGGCTGGGCTTGCCACGCCACGTCAGCGGCGCTTGGGGCGCACGCGGTCGCGCGCACTGGAGGAAGCGGTGAAGGCGGCGATGGGCGGGGACGGGGAAGCGGAGAGCACCACTCCGGGCGCGCTTGCCTCCGCCGACCCCCCGCTCTCCCCGCTGGACGCGGTGCAGCCGCGCGCAGACGACGCGGCGCTCACGCCAGGGTCGCGCGGAGGGGCTTCCGCCAATGTCACTCCGCGCAGCAGGGCCAGAGGCGCGCGCGCTGGGGGGATGGGGGAAGGCGGGGCGGGCGCGCTGGAGTCCCCCGTGGGCGCTGCAGCGAGCCCCGCGGGCGGGGAGAGGCCGAGGCGCCCGCGGGAGCGCAGGCGGACACAGTCGCGGTCAGGCATGGAGGAGATTATGCGGGGGGTCGAAGGCGCAGCGGAGGGCGCAGGGGGGGCGGGGGGCGCGCGCACCCCTGTGAGCCCCTATCGGGGAAAGTCGTTTGGGCGGGGCGAGGACGCGGAGAGGAGGGAGAGGCTGCGGGAGAGGGGCAAAGAGGGGGCGTCTCCGCGGGAAATGGGCGGAGCGGGGGCTGCGGGGGGTGATGGCGCAGCAGCGCAGATCAGACACGCCACGCCGCCCCCCACGCGGCCGCCCGGGGAGAGAGGCTACAGTAGAAGCCGGTCGAGGCGCGTGGCAGAGGAAGGGGGGGGGAGAGGGGCGGGGGAGGAGGGGGGCGGGGCGGGGAGAGGCAAACCCGCCAGGTCCCCGATTGGGGGGAGGGGGAGCAGACGGCGGAGGAGCGTTTCAAGGGTGGGGGAGGAGTTTGGCGCAATTACTCCCCCTGTGGGCACGCCCACTGCGCTCACCCCCACTGGCGTCTCCCCCATGGCTGTTTCCCCCGGATTCGTTCCCCCGACCTTGTCCAATGGGGAAGGGGGAGGCGCGGGGAGCAAGGGGGGAGACGGGGCGGAGGGCGCAGTTTCGGATATGTTTGAAGGGTTTCAGGTGGGTGCTGTGGTTGAGAGAGTGGCGGAGCGGTTGCAGGAGCACGGAGAGAAGCGGAGGGAGAGAGCAGGGGGGAGGGGCGGGAAGGAGGAGGGGCGGGGGACGGTGCGAAAAGTGCGCAAGGATGAGTGGGAGAGGATTAAGGAGAGGGAGAGGGGCGCGGGGAAGAGCGGACGGGCGGTTGAGAATGGGGAGAGGGCGGAGAGGGGGAAAAAGAGGGAGGAGGATGTGAGGGCGAAGGGAGGAGAGGCGGGAGGAGAGAAGGAAGGGGAGAAGGAAAGTGAAAGGGAAAGAGAGGAGGGGAGGGAGAAGGGCGATGACAAGCAGGAAGCAGAGGGAGTTGAGTCTGTGGGGGCCATTGGGGGTTGTACAGAGGTAGGTATGGAGGGAGTCGAGTCAGTGGAAGCTCATTCAGAGGTTCAAGAGAAGCAGGGAGATGGAAAGGCTGGTAGTGCGGTGGTAAGGGCGGGAGCAGGAGGGGAGGAGGGCATGGGGGCAGCAGCAACGGCGGCGGAGAGCAGGGAGGAAATGGAGGCGGGAGAGAAGGCAGTGCAGCAGCAGGACGTGGCAGTAGCAGCCGCCCCTGCTACAGTTCTCCCTGCAGGCCCACTGCCAACGGTGCCTGTGGTGGGAGTGGGGGGAGCGGGCATGGACGAGGAGGAGCGCAAGGTGCTGCAACTCAAGGGGCTCGCGCGCCCCTCCGCGCTTGCTGTCGCCGTCTTCTCCCCCACCTCCGCCCGGCTCATCTCCCCCTCCGCCACCACCTCCCACCCCCTCCGATGGTGCCGCGGAGGAGGATCACGGGGCGCAGAGGGAGGTACAGGGATCATGGGGATGATGAGGACGAGTATGAGGATGAGGAGTATGATGATATGGATTTTATTGATGAGTATGATGAGGAGGACGATGGGTTGGGTGAGAGAGGCGGGGAGGAGGAAGAGGAGGAGCGGCCACCGGAGTTGATGTATGTCCGCTCGCTGTCCACCCTTCGCCGCCCGGAAATCGCGCAGATGCAGGGCGGCGGCGTGACGCCCGCCGCCCGGCAGGTGTACTACGAGTTTGGGCCGATCGGGGCGGCGAGGGTGCGCGCGCAGCAGTGCCGCGACCACTGGTCGTGGCTGTTCATGCAGTATCTCGAAACCATGCTGCCACGCCTGGCAGTGCAAGATGACGATGATATCATGAGTCTCACCAGCACGGGGGATCATTTAGACGATGACGATAATCTCGCCTTCCCCAGCGCTGCCAGCAGCACTGCGTTTGGGAGCAGCAGAGGTGCGACGACGGCAGTGGCCGGTGGAGCAGGGGGGGGTGCGTGGCCGGAGGGGGGGCCGGGAGTGAGGGTGCTGCGGCCGGTGGGGCGGACTAACCGGAACTGGTCGGTGGCGGGGGCGTTGAGGGAGTTTGAATGGGTGAGGCGGAAGTTCCGAGGGGTGGCGGAGAGTAGCGAGCGGTTGAACGAGGTGCATGTGGGTGAGGCGTTTGTGGCGGGGCTATCAGTATGGCTCAAGTACTGGGAGCAGTAGGGGGAGAACCGACCCAAGTGGCAGGGCGAGGAGGAGGACGACAATGAAGACGACCCAGCAGCACCAGGTGGGGGCAGTGGTGGTGGTGGTGGTGGCGCCGGTGGTGGTGCTGGTGGTGGGAGTCTCGGGGGCACGTCTCCTGTGCGATTCAATGACTCTGCGACTAGCTCCACCTGGAGGGACCTTCCCAACAGCTCCAATAGCTCGCCCTGGCATGGGGATAGAGATGAGGGGGGGGACGGCAGGGGGAGGTACGCGCACAGTGATTTGGGGGGCGGAGGGGGAGGGTATGCGGGGAGCACAGGAGGAGGGGCGTATGGCAGTGGGAGGAGGCCTAGTAGCGTGGCTGCGGGGCTGTCCGGCGCAGGAGGGGACGTGCATACGTACGGGCCAAAGCGCTGGGGCCCGGAAGGTAGCCTGCAGTCTCGCCTCGTTGCCGAGGCGCTGGGAACAGGACAAGCGCTGCCGACCACGTGCCAGCACGACGATATTCTCCGGGTGGCGGGGCTGGTGGCAGCGATCAGCAGCTGGCAGCCGTCCACTGCGTGCATGTGCCTGCTGCGCCTACTCGACCGCATGGCCCAGTTCGAACTCCTCTCCCTCGGGATCACCATCTCGCCGCACCACGACGCTGCTGCTGTCGCAGCCGCCACTGCTGCGGCTTCAGGGGCTCACGGGTCGGTGCGAGGAGGAGGGGCGCTGGGGCCGTCGGCGCGGCATCACCTGGCAGGGATTGGCAATGAGGGGAGTATGCCGTCGTCGCCTGCTGGGTCGCGGCGGCGCTCGGAGAGTTTCACCATGGGCGGTGGGGGATTGGCGGAGCAGACAGGGCCTATTCCCACGTCCTTTAGTGGGCTGGGTTCTGCTTTTGGTGCCGCACCAGCATCGGCGGCGCCGGCGCAGCAGCAGGCGGCAGCGGCTGCACAGGAGGCATCGGCAGCAGCAGCGGGAGGAAGAGGAGGAGCAGCAGCGGCAGCGGCACCACCACCACCACAGAAGAAGTCAGGCGGCGGGTTGCTTGCTTTCACTGCGAATATCACCCGCCCGACCACTCCGTTCTTTGGCATCGGGTCCTCCTCTGCTGCCTCCCACCCCGCCCCCCCGCCTCCTGAACCCACTCCGCCGCCCGCCCCGCCGTCCAATGTGAGCTCGCCACCTGTCTCGGACCTGTCAGGAGGGCCGCCGATCGCTGTGGGGCCCATGGGGATGGCAGGGATGGGGGGCATGGGGGCATTGGTGCGCGCACCGGCCAACCTCCCTGCGTGCCGAGCGTTCGTAATGGCATGCCTGAAGGCCATTCTCTCATCCCAGTACGAAAAATCCGGAGGCGCAGCGGCGGCCAGCCGGAGAGCCATGTCCGCAGCAGCAGCGGCAGCAGCAGCCGGAGGAGGAGGAGCGGGAGGCGGCTGGAGCTATGCTCCATGCCCCCCATTCTCCATGCCCCATGCCCCTTGTCCCTCCCAACATGGCATGACATCATGACATCATGGCATCATCACATGATCACATCATGGCGTGATGGCATGGGCACACACTGCGGACGAGGCAAGGGAGGTGATGGAGCGCAGTGCAGCTTCCATCTGGCGCTCCGTTGCTGCCTCAGGTGGGACGCCCTTCCACCATGCCCATGCCCACACCCACACCCACACCAATGCCCATGCCCATGCCCATGCCCATGCCCATGCCCATGCCCATGCCCATGCCCGTGCCCGTGACCGTGCCCACATCCACGCCCTCCCTTCTGTCCCTCTCCTTCCGCCGTTCCCTCACTCTCTTTCCAAGCACTCCCAGCCCTGCCTCACCACCTCCATTCCATGGCACTCACGCTCACATTTACACTCTCTCACACCCATGTTCTTCACTTACCTCTAACCCCCTGCGTGCTCCCATGAATCTCGCCCTCTCTCCCTCTCGACCCTGCAGGGGCACAGCCAGGAGCGTCCTAGTGTGCTTACAAGAGCACCCACACCAGCTCTTGACCACCCTGCTCCAAATCATTGTATTGTCCACTCGAGTGCAATCAAGTAGTGACAGAAGCATTTTCGTAGGTGTGCTTGTACTGTCAAGGAAAGGCCGGAATCAGTTAGGGGTGATAGGTTTCGCTTTTGCCCTTGTGCTCCTGTTTTCTACAGCGGAAATTATGTACCGGTACCTACCGGTAGTATTTATTGTCAAATGTTATAGCCTTTAGTGGGTCATGCTATATGGGGTACAAACAGTTAGGGTTAGGTACTTGTACCCCAACACAATCAATTCAACTCATTCCGCTGTAGCCACTTTCTGAGATGGTATCAGCTAGGTTCCTCGCTCCTAGGCCCTAGGTTAGTTCCCTAGCTCGCCAGACACGCCAGCGCGCTGAGTCCTAAGCCGCCAGCCAGCCAGCTGCCCCCTAGCGCGCCACGCCGCCGGCGACCTGCAGCGCGACCCGTCCCCTAGCCACCGCGCCAACCTCCCGTAGGCCCGCACGTCGCGCTGCCCGTAGGCCTGCCCGTAGGCCCGCACGTCGCGCTGCCCGTAGGCCGGCAAGTCGCGCTGCCCGTAGGGCTGCCCGTAGGCCCGCGCGTCGCGCTGCCCGTAGGCCCGCCCGTAGGCCCGCGCGTCGCGCTGCCCGTAGGCCCGCGCGTCGCGTCGCCTAGCCACGCAGCCCGGCCGTAGGCCCGCCCGTCGCCTCACCCGCCCGTAGGCCTGCCCGTCGCCTCGCCCGCCCGTAGGCCCGCCCGTCGCCTATAACGCCCGTAGGCCCGCCCGTCGCCTAGCCCGCCCGTCGGCCCGCCCGTCGCCTCGCCGCGCAGCCCGCCCGTCGACCCGCCGCGCCGCCCGTAGGCCCGCGCGCCGCGTCGCCTGTCCGTCGACCAGCTGCGCAGCCCGCCCGTCGACCCGCCGCGCCGCCCGCCACCCAGTACGCCGCGCCGCATGCCCCATAGCGCGCCGCGCCGCCCACCAGCCAGCGCACTGCGCCGCCCACCAGCGAGCGCACTGCGCCGCCCACCTACCCACCTACATGCCTCCCCGCCTGCTCACACGTTACTGACTGTCTCCCCCCTCCCGCGGCTGGCAGCCGCGCTCTCTCAGTTTCGCCCCCTATGGCGACCTCCCGAGTACTTCGTTTTGACCCTGAAGGGAGACCTATTGACTTTAGTACGTGGCTTACGCAGGCGCAGCGCCACCTTAAGAGCCAGCGGCAGGATGGCGTGCACCTGTTCGCACACGCGTCCGGCACCCTGACCGCCCCTCTGCAGCCTCGGCCGCTGCCCACTACCCCACCGCCTACTTCTGAGCAGGAGGCCGACTACCAGCGCCAGCTCCTCGCTCGTGACGTGTGGGAGTCTCGTGACGCCGCTGCCTGCCTCGCCCTGACCGACCTTCTCCCGCCGACAGAGGCAGTCCACTTCGCTCAGGTCGAGTCTGCTGCAGATCTGTATAAGGCTATTGTTGCTCGCTACTCCACTCCCTCCTCTGCTTCGCTCAGTCGCCTCCTCGTACCCTTTATCTACCCTGACCTCGCCTCCTTTGAGACTGTCTCTGACCTCGCTACCCACCTGCGCTCCCTTGATGCTCGCTTTCGCGCTGCTTGCTCTGAGGACCAGCTTGCCCTTGCCCCACCCCCTATGTGGCTCACTATTCACTGGCTAGTCACTCGCCTCCCTGACCGCCTAGCCACAGCCCGCGACGCGCTTCTTCTGAAGCACCCCACTGAGCTTACCATCGATCTTCTTGAGACTGCTCTCTCGAAGATCGAGAGCAACCTCCTCACTGTTGCCTCTGCCTCTTCCGCGCCTCCTCCTCGTCTTTTTGAGGGGTGTGCGGTACCACAGCTTCCCACCTTCTCTGCCTCACTTGCCACCCCCACGTCTTCTGCCTCTGAGGAGACGGCAGCTGTTTCTGTCTCTGGCGGGCAGAAACGTGGCAAGGCTGGTAAGAGGGGCGGGAAGGGCGGCGGGGGTACTGGAGGTAGTGCAGGTAGTGGCGGTGGCGGTGGAGCAGGAGGTGGGAGTGGTGGTGGGGGTGGCTCGGAACCTGACGGCCCTCCTTTCGACGGTGGAGTTTTCACTGGTGGTGAGGGGTCCCAGCAGCAGCAGCAGTCGACTCATCAGCAGCTGCCACCGCCTGGACAGCAGCAGCGGCAGGGACAGCAGCAGCAGCGACAGGGCCAGCAGCAGCGCCCGCCACAGCAGCAGCCCCAGCAGTGGGGCCCTCCGCAGCAGTGGGGCCCTCCGCAGCAGTGGGGCCCTCAGCAGCAGTGGAGGTCTGCGGGTCCCCCGAGCACTGGGCGCAGTGGCGCCCCCTCCAGTCGGGGACCTCGCTCGGCCGGCCGCGACGTTGGTCCCTATGAGTACTGGATCCTTACGGGTCCTCGTCGGGACTCGTACTGTGGCCGGCTCGACCACTCTGCTGCACGCTGCTTCAGTCGTCTCGACGACCTCTATGTCTTGCACCACGGCCCCTCCGCTCCCCCGGCGCCTCGCTGGGGGACGCTTCTTGCTCGTGGTATTGCTGTTTTTGATATGACGATGGATGATGCTAGGTCATATGCCATGTATGCTGATGTTGACTATAGTGCTCATGGATCTGTGTACTTGCCTGTACCTAGCTTAGGATCTTTGCCTGTTGCTAGAGTAGGTGCTAGTGTAGGATCTTGTTTAGCTACTAGTACAGGTTCTCCCTCGGCGGACGCCTCTCTCTCCTTCACACTGGACTCCGGAGCGTCACACTGCTTCTTCCGCGACTGCACGACTCTCTCTCCGCTACCGGCGCCTGTCCCTGTAGCACTGGCCGATCCCTCTTCGGGACCGGTCATTGCGACTCACGCGGTCATTGCGACTCACGCTACTACACTCCCGTGCCCAGCTGCTCCTTCCGGTTCCCTGACTGGCCTCCACGTTCCTTCGTTCTCTAGGAACCTGGTTGGTGTGGGCACCCTGGCGAGACAGCACGTCGGGGTCTGGGTTGAGCCTTCTGGTGACACCGCGGTCTGTGTGGACGGTGACACGTACGCCCCCTTGGCCACTTTTCGCCAGGAGCCGGGCTCCGGTCTGTACACCCTCCGCGCCGACCCCCGTCAGGTTCCCCCGTCCCACCAGGTAGCCGGGTCCAGTCAGGTTGCTGTGTCAGGTGTAGTTGCTGCGTCGTGCTCATGTCGGTCGCTTGCCCACCCCTCCCTCCTCTGGCACCACCGCCTTGGTCACCCTTCCCTCCCTCGTCTCCGCGCTATGTCCAGTCAGCGTCTTGTCTTAGGCCTCCCTCGAGTCCTCCCGCCACTCCCGCCGACCCCAGCTCCTCCGTGCGGTCCTTGTGTCCAGGGTCGACTGCGCGCCACCCCTCACTCCTCCTCCCTTCGTCCGGCCACCGAGCCCTTCGAGACTCTCTACTTAGATGTCTGGGGCCCCGCTCCCCGTCTTGGCCCTCAGCGGGAGAGTTTCTTTCTGGTGGTCGTTGACGACTACTCTCGGTACACCACCGTGTTCCCTTTGGCGAAGAAGTCCGACGTGACTTCTACGCTGATCCGGTGGCTCCTCGCCACCGAGGGCACTCGCGGTCGTCGTGTCAGTTGTCTTCACTCCGACCGTGGGGGTGAGTTTCGCTCCGGCATTCTCGCCAGATTTTGTGCTGAGCAGGGCATCACCCAGTCCTGGACTCTTCCAGACTCTCCATAGCAGAATGGGGTTGCTGAGCGCCGCTTAGGCCTGGTCATGGAGATCGCCCGCACCTCCATGATCCACGCCCGCGCACCCCATTTCCTGTGGCCCTACGCGGCTCGGTACGCCGCTCACCAGCTGAACCTCTGGCCTCGCGTCTCTCGGCCAGGGGCTTCACCGACCAGTCTTTGGACAGGGTCCCCTGGTGTTGCGTCGAGGTTTAGTGTCTGGTGCTGCTTGGCAATTGTCCGCGACACCTCTGCGGACAAGATCTCGCCTCGCGCTGTCCCCTGTGTCTTCCTTGGTTTCCCAAAGGGCTCCTCTGACTTCACCATTTACCACCCTCCCTCCCACCGGTTCTTTGACTCTCGTGACGTCCGTTTCGACGAGTCCGTCCCCTACTACGTCCGGTACCCCTATCGAGGTCTCCCGGTTCCCCCCCCTCCCCTCTTCCTGGCTCCAGCTCCTCCTCCTCCCGCCCATGCTCCTCCGGTACCCCCCCCTGTCCCCGCTCCGTCTGGTGTGTCCCACGCTACTCCCCCCCCCTCGGTACCCCCCCAGGTCTCTCCTCCTTCCCCACAGTCCTCCTCACAGCCTCCGCAGCAGCCGCCGTCGCTTCCTTTACCGGCCACTGCGGACTCTGAGGGTGTTGGTGCTCGAGGTGAGGGCTCTGGGGGTGCTCGCTCTGGGGGTGGTGGCGTTGGAGCTGTTCGTACACCTACAGGAGCAGCCGGTTCTGGGGGTGTTGGCGTTCGCGCCGAGCGTGCACCTGGCGCAGCTGCCCGTTCTGAGGGTGCTGGAGCTGGTGGTGTTTCTGGAGCTGGAGAGTCTGGGGCTGGTGCTGGTGCCACTGGGGGCACCACGACTGGGGGTGCGGGTGCGCCTCCTACTGGGGCTGGTCGTGCTGCCGCGGGAGGTACTCGCTCTGGGGGTGCTCAGCCGGGTACTGCTGCGGACGGAGCCGGTTCTTCTGCTGCATCTCCTGACACCACTCCTCCGCCTCACCCCTACCCGACTCGTTACCAGACCCTTCTTCGTCTTGAGCGTGAGGAGCAGCAGCGTTTGGAGCGTGAGAGGTCGGAGGTTCAGCAGCGGGTGGAGCGTGAGCGGTTGGAGTTGCAGCGGGAGCAGCAGCAGCAGCAGCAGCAGCAGCAGCAGCAGCAGCAGCAGCAGCAGCAGCAGCAGCAGCAGCAGCAGCAGCAGCAGTAGCAGCAGCAGCAGCCACCGCAGCAGCAGCCGGAGCAGCCTCCGGCTCCTGTTTCTGGCCTTCGGGCCCTTGGTCTCCCCTCCTCTCCTCCCGTGTTTGGTCCTACGTTTCCTCCTCCGGACTCAGCTCCGGCTGTGTTCCCTCGTTCTCAGTCTCCTCCGTCTCCCCCTCCATTCGCCCACACTTGGACCTCTCGTCCTCCTCGTGCTCGTCCCTCGTCCCCTGTCACTGACCTCCGTACCGCTTTGTTTCGTTCTAGTCGTCCTCGTCCTCCTCAGTCTGTTCTTCCTCGTCCTCCTGAGTCGTCCCTCACTGCCTCCCTGTCGACTCCGGTCTCTGACTACTACCGCACGTACCGCCCCACTCTCTCTCGTGTTCTCGCCTCTCTTGTTACAGACCCTCGTGCCTCTCCTTCCTCCGTCGCGGTCCTCACTGCCGCGGTCACTGACTTTACTGCTACGCGTCGCCTTGACTACGCCACTCGTGTTGTGGCCGCTCTTCCTGTCCGTCCTCTGTCCGCCGGGGGTGAGTCTGCCCTTGGCTGTGACGTCCTAGAGGAAAGACAGTTTGAGCTAGAGTTCCTGGCAGCTGCTTCGCCTCATCTCTGTGCCATGCTCCTCGCTCCTGAGGGAGACCCCGACGCTCCTGACATTCCTACTCCTCGCACTTACGCTGAGGCAGTGTCAGGGCCTTGGGCCTCTCAGTGGAGAGCTGCCATGGACGCAGAGATGGCCTCCTACAGGTCCACAGGCACTTACGTTGATGAGGTTCCCCCCCCAGGGGCGAACATCGTTGACGGCATGTGGATCTTCAAGGTGAAGCGGCCGCCGGGATCTCCCCCAGTCTTCAAGGCACGCTACGTGGCTAGAGGGTTCAGTCAGCGTGAGGGAGTTGACTTCTTTCAGACCTTCGCGCCCACTCCGAAGATGACCACTCTTCGGGTGTTACTGCACGTAGCAGCGCAGAGAGACTACGAGCTACACTCTCTTGACTTCTCCACTGCCTTCCTCCAGGGCCGCCTACACGAGGGGATCTGGCTGCGTCGTCCTTCGGGCTTCACTGGCACTTTCCCGCCAGGGACCCAGTGGAGCCTCAGACGACCGGTCTACGGTCTCCGCCAGGCACCCCGTGAGTGGCACGACACTCTCCGCTCGACTCTCTCCGACCTCGGGTTTGAGCCGTCTTCTGCCGACCCGTCGCTGTTTGTTCGTCGTGGGTGCACACCTTTCTTCGTTCTCGTCTACGTTGACGACCTGGTTTTTGCCACAGCCGACACAGTTGCACTGGCGGAGGTGAAGTCCAAACTGCAGAAGAGACACACCTGCACTGACCTTGGGGAACTGCGCCGCTACCTTGGCCTGCAGATCTCCAGGGACAGAGCCGCTCGCACCATCACTCTGACTCAGTCACACATGGTGCAGCAGGTCCTTCAGCGGTTCGGGCTTCAGCACTCTTCCCCTACACCCACCCCTCTTGCTGTAGACCACATACTCACTGGGCCTTTTCCTGACGAGCCGTTCGAGCCCAGTGGTCCCTACGCAGAGCTGGTGGGTTGCCTCATGTACCTGATGACGTGTACTCGCCCGGACCTCGCCTTCCCTCTTAGCATCCTTTCTCGCTTTGTTGCGACTGGGAGACATTGTCCTGTTCACTGGGCGGCGGCTAAGAGGGTGGCGAAGTACCTCCGCGCGACATCAGACATGGGGCTTGTACTTGGAGGGACACAGCCAGTTGTACTCACCGGTCACTGCGACTCCTCCTACGCCGACGACGTTGAGACTCAGAGGTCTACACAGGGTTACTGTTTCAGCCTGGGCACTGGAGCTGTTTCGTGGAGGTCTACTGGGTCCTCCTCTGTTGCGACTTCTACCGCAGAGGCCGAGATCTACGCTGGAGCCCTTGCTGCACAGGAGCTACGCTGGTTGACCTTCTTGCTCACTGACCTTGGTGAGCGGCCGAGCTCTGCACCGACCTTATTTGCTGACAACAAGGCGATGATTCTCCTGTGTCGTGAGCCTCGACTGGAGAGCAGAGTGAAGCACATCGACGTCAGGTACTTCCTCCTTCGAGAGTTGCAGCGACGCGGACAGGCTCGTCTGGACTTCGTGGCCTCCGAGGCCAACACTGCAGACATCTTCACCAAGGCTCTTCAGCCTTGTGACCACCGCCGGTTTTGTCTGCAGTTAGGTCTCGTTGAGACTGGGTCTACTAGACTGCAGTAGTTATTTCTTGCCTCTTGTGTGTGTGTAATATATATATATTAGCTTATACACTCTTGAACTGGCCTTGTGGCCCCTTTGTGCTCAGACTGTGTGGTGACGTTGTGATCCACCCTGAGCTTTGTTTCCTCTCTTGCTTGCAACTGGTCTTGTGACCTTAGGTTGCGTTCTTGTTGCTTTGCATTCCCCACTTAGGCTATGGGGGTGTGTCAAATGTTATAGCCTTTAGTGGGTCATGCTATATGGGGTACAAATAGTTAGGGTTAGGTACTTGTACCCCAACACAATCAATGCAACTCATTCCGCTGTAGCCACTTTCTGAGATTTATGCAGGTAGCAGATGCGAGTAGGGTGTTCTGTTTGTAGGGTTGCAACTTTGTTGTAACAGTTTGCTGTATTTATTAAAGGATGTTCAAGCTTCCGAAGAACAGAACTGAAGTAGAGCCTGCATAGCTGTACCAAGATGGAAAGTCCTTTGCAAGAAATGGAAGAGGCTTGTGGATGGTACGGTACCTACTGGTACCTACCTACCCACCCAACCCAACCCAACCCATCCCTGGCACAAAAGCCTGGATGGATCTCCCTGACGGCTGGATGTGCATGAGGACTGCCTGCCTGCCCTGGCACTTGGCATTTACACTAGTGCACTGCACCGCACTGCACTGCGAAAAAACATCATTCATCAGGTTTGCTTGTGACAACAGAAAACAGAAAACGGAAGCTGCCTTTCCTTCACTATTGAAAGAGGCAACAATATAGCCAAAGGTGGCAAGGCAGGCAGCCTGATGCAGCAGCTTTATTCCATGCGACGCTAGCTGGGCAGGGCACTTATGCATCTGAGATAGATGTGCTTCTGCTGTGCCCGCCTCCATGTACCATGCTGAACCCTCGTCCCATGTACGGTACTGGTATGAATGTGCTAACCAACTTTGGATGGGTGGCTACGAGCCCACTAGTATCTATTGCTGTTGTGTCTATATATGCTTGCTGTGTCAAAGCGTGACCCTCCCGCACGCTGCAAGGCACGCCTTGACATTAGCGTCGCCCTCTGCCCCCTTGCAGCACGCATCGCATTGTGCTGCCACCGCGCCTGCTCCCTTCTCCGGCACGCACACTGGCATGCCATGCCGCACCATAGTGTTGTGGGCCGCCGAGGGTGGGAGAACAAAGACAAGGGCAAGCAATGAGATGAGGAACCGGGAGGGGCGGGTGAGACGATGGGATTGGAAGCGACTACAGGAGCACACGGGAGGGAATGGAAGCGAGGCGTTGACACGAGGTGACGTAAGGAAGGACCATGTCGCAAGTTTGGCGTGGCGGAGGGGGGGGGGGGGGGAAGGGGAGGGAGCTCACTCTTGCACCCCTTGATGCGGCGGCAGTTGGAGAACTGGCCCTTGTTGCACGCACAGCGCTGGCACATGTCCTCCGCCTTGATCGCGCCTGATGCCACTCCGCTGCTGTAGAAGATGGGGCCCCACCCGGGCCCCGCCGACACGCACTGCCCCGCGGACACTGGCGCACGGGGAAGGGGAAGGGGGAGGGGAAAGAACGAGGTGGGGGGTTAGGTTGGAATGGGGATGCGGATGATAAAGGCATTGGGATTGGCAGTGCTGAATACTGGCACGGTAAGGTGAAGGGCAAATGGTCAAGTGCGGTGGCTGGTTGAGGGACGGTGGGCGTACTTGCGGGGTGCGTGCACGCGCCAAGGTTGTTGGCCTTCTTGACCCGGTTGACCACACACCTGCATTCACATATCACGCACGCACACACACACCGAAACACACAGAAACACACACAAGGTAAGGGATTCGTTACTGACCAAGTGCGTTTGCGTACGCTCATCGGATCCCATCACCAATTGGCTCCTGCTGTATTTCCGCTCGGACTAGCCCTGTATCCCGCCTCCACTTTCTCGCTCCGCCAACCTGTCCTCCCCCGGCCGCCCCCCCCCCCCCCTCTCCCCCCCTCTCCCCCCCTCTCCCCCCCCTTCACTACTCACAGGCTCTGGCGCCCGGAGCACGCGGAGCCCACCGGCTTCCCCGCAACGTCCACGCGGCATTGCGGCCCCGGCTCGCATTCGCACGACGCGCCGGCAGCGCCGGGGAGGCGCGAGCAGGTGCAGTTGGGACAGGCGTAGTTTGCGGTGATGCTGGTGGTGCCCACGGCGTACGACACGGACTGATAGATGCAGTAGTCGTTCGCTGGTGCCCGAGAAAGCGGGCGCGCGGGGAAACGGGAACGGGTAAGTTAAACGGTCATTCAGCGCCTTGGATATGGAGGTGTTTTCCATTAGAATCTGTTGCGAGTGGGTGTGCTGATGGGGCAGGCTAGAGCAGAACTTGCGAGTGTGGGTAACCCACCGGGGGGCAGGGGGTCTTACAGTTATAGGAGTCGACGCAGACGCCTTGGAAGAGCTTATCGTGCGACGCGGGGAGCACCTGCTTCACCACGCACCTGCGCAGGAGGCCGGCGTAGCACGGCACGATTTAGACAGAGAGCGAGGAGGGAAAATGAACCCTCAGGGAAAGAAGCGACGAGACAAGACAGTGTACTAGTCCATATGCTGCTCGGGACGAGATGAACGCTCTGCTGGTTCAGAGAGGAGTTGAATGTGGAAGGTACGACTAGCTACTAGCACGCAACAAGACGTGGTTGATAGGGCTTTATGGGGTTGATGGGGCTGATGAGACGACGCACTGGAAGGGCTGCTTGCAGCTGGGCTGTGCTGGCATGTACTGCTTGCTCCAAAAGCACGTCGCGCCGTCTTGCAACGGCGGCTTCGGCGCTGCTGACGCGGGCGATGCACTCACTGAACACACGAAGCAGTCAGGAACGCGACGGTTAGAGGGATTCGGGGGGTCAGCCGAAGCACGACCACGGGGATGTGGGAATTGAACTGCATGACTCATCTTGCATGTGAGTTGCGTGGTAAAAAATGCCAGCTTACACGCGAGGTATAGGGCGAGGGCGAAGACAAACACAAGGAAGCGATTCGTCGCCATGGTGGTTGGATATGAAACGTGCGAAGGTCGACGCTGATATCGCTTGGAGCAGACAGTCGAGACTGAGAAGATGGCGGGACACGTCTCGCGGAGTGTTGACTGGCAAGTAGTGAAGCAGAAGTGAGACTCGGAGAACGAAAAAGTTTAGAGCAAGCCACGCGGTAATGTGGAGGGAACAAGAAATAGAGTAAAAGTGATGTCTCTCAAAGCTTCAACTAGTGTTGAAGAGGGTCGAGGGTGTGGTGTGCTGGTGCTGATCGAAGAAAAACAAGAACGTGGAAGGTTGTGACATCTGCGAGAAATTGGCGGAACTTTTGTAGCTGGAATGAAGCAGGTCACAATCGAAAGTCATCGAAGAATGCGCAATCCGCGCCGCCACTTTCATCGCCTGGCGAAGCGCGAAGGGGCTTTGCCTCCTCAACATAGTTGTGGAATCCAACAAAAATGTCACATCAATAATGGTGTGGGTTGAGTGTCCGTGCTCATAGGGAGGATGAGAATGTGTTCCGCGGATCACGCGACGAGGCAATGTACAGCGGAGTCATAGATGTAACGATTGATAAGAGTTATGCGTGAACATCCTTTCATATTCCCATTCTAAGTGGCGACTATGCACATGACAATGAGATATCATGTAACCAAGCATCATTAGACTTAAAAGACGGTTATTATAATCATTTCGAGTAATCGTTACTGTAAGTATACATCATATGCTAGTTTTATTCAGATGTAGCGTCATGTACTCATGTGGTTAATTGGGCAGAAATTTGAAGACTGAACCCATTGGAGGAACGTGGATCTGGCAAGATTGCAGCTGAGGAATCTCAGGGAAGCCTACTGGTTTGTGCCTGACAACTTTCTGTGGCGATCTCTTCTGTTTGGGCTGGGTGGGGTGGGGTGGGGTGGTGTTTGCGTTTTGCAGCTCGACGCTCACTAGTCAACTTATGACCAGACGATTCAAAGCAGGAAGGTTCCCACGTTTTCCATGGTCGCGCCTGCGAATTAGATGCAGACAGCAGAACAACCTTGCAACTTCCCACCAATGGTTCGAGCCTTATCTCTTCCCCCATGCCATTTGGCAGCTCTTTGCTTCCCGAGCCATTTTCAAACTGTTTTTTCGCGCCAGTTTTTCCAGCTGAGACGAGCAGCTACTGGTTCAATTCTGAACAAGCCTGCCATGGGCCAAAATGAACAGCAGTGGCAATCTCTTGGGAGTCGGTCCATGGCAATCTCGCGGATACAATCTCATAGCGGAGCCTCCATTCGCCTCGGCGATTTCCCCTGATGCCGGCCGGTCGTGACGTTTTAGATTCGCGCCATAATTTTCTCTTTTTTTCACCCGCTCCGAAGTCGCCACGTCGTCGCCTTTTCTTGCTTTTCGGATCTTTACGCGATCGCCAGGTCGATCCGCGGCTACTGGCGATTCCCGTTTTTTTACTTCGAGGGTGCTCCACTGTTACAGCCCTGCAGTGCCGCACGTGCCTTTTTCATCTTGTAGCACGACAAAATCTGATGCCCTGCTGCGCCGCAAAACTCGCATTTTGTCGGATGCTGCTTCGCGTCGTATTTGTCGATGTCCATCGGTTCGGCGAACGTGGGGGGTGCCGATCGCTCCGGGCCAAATGTATGGTTTGGCCCGTAGCGTCGTGTGTCGGGTTGACCTCGCGTCAACGCGTCGTACCTTTCAGCTGCTCGTACGATGTCGTGGTAGCTACTGTAGTTTGCCGAAATCACCTGCCGTCGAATCTCCATTTTTAATCCTTCGGTGTACGCCTGGATTTTTTCGCCTTCGGTCAGGTCAGTGATTCGGTTGAACAGTAATTCCATCTGCTGCGTGTACTGTGCTACGCTGCCGTACTGTTTGTGTCGGTGAATCTGCTGCCGCGCCATGTAGACTGAATTGATTGGTTCGAAGCGTTCGATTAGATCCTCCCAAAACTGCTGCCACGTTTTCTCCCCGCGGGCCACGTCAGTGTAATAAATCCAGTCGAGTGCCGGTCCACGTAACAGTGTCGTTGCGAGCCGTATTCTTGCTGCGTCATGTTGCGGGGTCGAACAGCCAATGGCCTCGAAGTAAATTTCGAGGGTTGCCACGAATCGCCGGACGTCGGATCCCTTCGCGCTGGGATCGAACGCTTCAGGGAGCCTCGGTCGTGCTGCTTCGAGGTTCGGCGACAGTGGTGCCATTGGTCCGTGAAATGTTGGTGTCGCCACTGCTGCGGGTGTTGTCGCTGCTACGTTCGCTGCTACTGCGGTGGCGATTCCTGGTTGGTGTGTCAGAAGGGCCTCGAGTCGTCGTAGCGCCGCCTACGTCTGCTCCATGTCGGTGCGGAGGCTCGCGATGTCGCTCGTAGTCGCATAGTTGTCGCCTTGGCCCTCCATGCCTGACATTGCGCGTCCAAAAAACCGAAACGAGGGGGAGCAAAAAACACGGAACCGGTTTTACGTACCCGAAATCGATGTTTAACTGCGTCGCCCCCGCGGTTTTTGAAGACTCGGTTTTAGCGGTCGAAAAAACTTTCGCGTGTAAACGGGCTCTGATTACCAAGCGTGAGGATCTAGGATCGAGCTCAGAAAAGAGAGTTTGAATTCAATGATCCACCTGGGTACAACACGAGGCTATATATAGTCTCGACACAAGGTCAGTTACCCAGGTGTTACGCGAATGTTCTGAGAGTCGCGAAGCGTCCCAAACAGAACCTTCCCGAACTCAGTAGAAAGCAATTCGGTGGAAACCGAATAGGCTTGAGTTCGGTACACGTAACCTGGTTCGGTGCTATAACTATAATAAAATATAGGAATGCACCTAACCTAGGAAATCAAGCATATCTATGCATGATAAATAAAACCCAAGCTAGATATAGCATAATAAAGTCTAGGCAAGCTAGCAAAGCCAGCATAAGCCGTCGTACTCTCACAATCACCCGGGACAGAGCACGCCGCACCATCACCCTGACTCAGTCACACATGGTGCAGCAGGTCGTTCAGCGCTTCGGCTTCACCTGGTCCTCGGCACAGGTCACTCCTCTGGCTACAGGTCACTCGCTCTCAGCTCCACCTTCGGACGAGTCCGTAGAGCCAAGTGGTCCTTACCCAGAGCTAGTGGGCTGCCTCATGTACCTGATGACCTGCACTCGTCCTGACCTTGCGTACCCTCTTGGCCTTCTGGCTTGCTACGTGGCTCTTGGTCGGCACCGAAAGGTGCACATGGATGCTGCTAAGAGGGTACTGCGCTACTTGTGCAGTACATCGGGCATGGGGCTCGTGCTTGGAGGGCGGAGTCCAGTTGTCCTCACTGGGCACTCAGACGCTTCTTGGGTTGACGACCAGGCTACACAGCGGTCGTCACAGGGTTACTCGTTCAGCCTTGGCTCCGGCTCTGTTTCTTGGCGGTCTACACGCTCGTCTTCTGTTCTCAGCTCTAGTTGTGAGGCTGAGATCTACGCCACAGCCATGGCTGCACAGGAGTTACGCTGGCTCACCTACCTGCTGACCGACCTGGGAGAGCGGCCTCGTTCTCCTCCAGTTCTGTACGTAGACAACAAGGCCGCCATTGCCTTGTGTGAGGAGCACAGACTGGAGCACAGAACGAAGCACATCGCTCTGCGTTACTTCCTTGCTCGAGAGTTGCAGCAGCGGGGTTTGCTTCGCCTTGCTCACGTGGCCACTCGGGCCAACACTGCTGATATATTCACCAAGGCACTTCCGTCTGGTGACCATCAGCGCTTTTGTGCTTTGTTGGGCCTTGTGCCTACGTTTCTACACTTGCTGTAGTCTCTGCTTGTACTGTGATCTCTATATATATATACCTGCATGCTTGCTCTTGCTAGGTAGAGATCACTGTACTGTTCTTGTTGCATATATACCTCTGCATGTGAACTGGCCTTGTGGCCATTTGCTTGTGCTTAGTATGTGTGGTGACGTTGTGATCCACCTTGAGCTTGTTTTGCTTTCCTTGACTGGTCTTGTGACCTCTTGGTCTCCCCCACTTTGTCTATGGGGGTGTGTCAAACATATACATATGTTATAGTTTTGGGTAGGCTGTAGTGGGGTAAATACGGTGGAGTACAACCCCTTATGTTTCCTTCTTGTACCAAAATCTCTCCATAGTCAAACACATTCCTGCCTAGTTTCTAAGAGGTGCTGCTGCTGCTGGCGGTGCTGCTTATCGTGCTGCTGCTGCTGCTGCTGCTGTTGCTGCTTCCGCTGACATTGCGGCTGACGCTTTTGCGCGGAAAAGCTGGCTTTTGAGCGCAGAGAGAAGCAAAGAAGGTGGAGGGAATGGAGGTCTGAACGGGACAAGCTAGGCGAAGCCATCGCTTGCAGACAAGCGAGAGACGTAACGGGGGAGAGTCGTCGACGGAAGCTAGACAGAGGACGGAGCACAAGAGGTCGTATGATAAACGATCGACTGGCGGAGTTGCCGCGTCAAGTGACGTCAGCAGATCGTCAGACAGACGGTCGGTAATAACGGCCGAGGATTCGTCCAACGACGAGTTTGAAGAACGTGGCATCTCAGAGTTAAAACTATAGCCGGAGTTAAAACTATAGCTACTAAGTTAAGGGCAGGGTCATCCCTAGGTTTTGAACCTACCTGATGGGTCAGATGGCGTGATTTTTACTGTCTGATGTATCAGAAGTTTCTTAAAAACATTTCTGTCAAAACGGAAATATTGATATCCAAATTCTGATTGATTTTTAAACAGCTCTTTTCATATTACAGTGTACCGTACCTCACGAAGGATATGCAAAAGACTATGCACCATATGGGACTCGAACTCGACCGCTCACCGTTCGGGAACATTACGGAACCGACTAAGCTACATCCTTTGACTTCGCTAGACAATTAGTTTGTATGGTCACCGAATCCCAATCACACACCAATCACCCTTCTACCTATGAACTCGGTATCAGACAATACCAAAACAGGTTTCTGACTGATCAGATAAACTGAAAAAGTCATTTCTTCTGAATCAGAAATTACAAAAAGTAATTTCTGAAAAATCAGATGAACTGGAAAAAACGTGTCTGGATATCGGACAAACAGACCAAAACTTTCTGCTAGCGACGACCCTGGTTAAGGGATGCGAAGTTAGAGAGCGGCGCGGACACGGGGAAGATAAGTGATACGTTGGTGTGATATTACCTAACCTAGGCAGCGACTACACTGGACGGTCTGGTTCTGAATTGGAGACGTTTGGTGTGATTGGAATTCGGAATACTGTCAGCACGCTCTCGTTCGTCAGCGCGCGCGCTCTTATTTTCAGCCAATACCAGCTGGGAAAACAGGGGAATGTACAAATGTTACACTCACACCACTTGCTATCTGTAACCCATGGCCACCGGCTGCAACCACAAGCACAGAAGAGAGCAAAGAAACTAGAGAGTACACCCGCACCACTTGACACCTGTATCTGGTGCATCATGCTGAAACCACCATTACCACTGATGCCACCACCACTGCCAATGCCACCACCACTATTACCTCCGCTGCCATAGCACGTAAACATCTTTCCACTCATCCTCCAAGCAAGGTGACTGTGACTGCAGCCACTGTCTCCTCCAGCCTTGCTGCAAATGGGGCTTCTTCCATCACCCATATCACTGCTTGCGCTCTTGGTACATAGGCAGTGACTGCTGCTGTCGCTGCTGCCAGTGCATCTACTCTTTGAATTGCTGTCACCACTGCCATAACAACTGCAGCTGTAATAAAAGCCACCACCACCAGCATCATTGCTGCCGCTGCCAGCACCACTGTTGCCAGTCAATGTAGTCTCACCAACCCCACTGCAACCACTGCTACAGTCAGTGGTGCTACAGTCAGTGGTGCTGCAGTCAGTGGTGCTACAGTCAGTGGTGCTACAGTCAGTGGTGCTACAGTCAGTGGTGCTACAGTCAGTGGTGCTACAGTCAGTGGTGCTACAGTCAGTGGGACTACATTCAGCGGTAATACAGTTGGCTGTGTTACAGTCAGCAGTGTTACAATCAACGGTGCTACAGTCAGTGGGACCGATACTCCCACAGCAGCCAGCACCCCAAGCACCACCTGGAGAGCAGATGTCTACCTCTGCAGCCTCACTGCACCGCTGCGCAGCACATTCATGCACTGATGCTTTCAAACACGCCTCCTTACCCTCCACCTCCTCTCCACCTCTACGGTGAGTCCCACGTCTGCTCTCTTCCTGTAGGTTTGGATTGCAAGGCGAGGAGGTGTGAGTGTGACTCGCCTCAGTGCCAATGCTTCTCCTCCTGCTCCCACTCCCACTCCCCCTGGTCAGCCCAGCCATTTTCCCCTCTTCTCCTGTTTCCTCGCGCCTGCATTCACTCCCACGCACCATCTCCTGAGTAGCTAGCCTGCCAGCAGCACCGGCACTGCTGCTCTGACAGCACGCATCAGCATGGCTGCTTTTGCAGAGACTGTTGGGACTGCTTGGGTGGCAATCAGGACAACCCACCTCATGCCCCACCTCATGCTGCCCAACCTCGCCTTCCACTCCGTGGCTTTTCACACATGCCTTAACCACGTGCACCTCTCTAATGAAATCCTGCACTGTTGCTTCCCAGCACGCTTCCTGTCCTTCGACCTCCCCTCTCACGGCTGCCTCACTATGGCGTGTGCTCTGTTCCGGTGGCTCTGGGTTGAAAGGCAAGGAAACGTGACGCGCCGTAGCGCTGACACTTGTCCCACTGCTACACCCCGTGGTCAGCCTGTGCACCTGCTCCACCTCTGGTGAACTCTCACTCCTGCTTGCACTCTCACCCACCTTCTCCTGCACAGCTAGTCTGCCAGCAGCATCGGCCCTGCCGCTCTGACAGCAAGTATGGGGACTGCTGGCATGGCACCCAGCGCAACACCCCACCACATGCCTTTCTTTGGATGCGTTTCCACCCATGCCTTTTCCACATGCACCGCTCCATCACTCACCTTCCTCTCTACTGTAAGACCCTTCCCACTCCTGCTTCCACCCGTTCTACCCCTGCAGTCAGTCTTACAACCCCCCTCCCGCACCACTCCCTCTCCGTTCTCCCTCGTCTTTTCCTTCCCCCACTCCCTCTCTTGGCTCCCACACTCGCCTCCACACGCTGCTCTAACCCAGGGGTGTTTCAGCACCTCATGAGCCTTGAACCTTCGCCCAGGATCCGTTACAAGCACACACCTTAACAGCTGCTTAGCCTCCCTCGAAATTCCCTCCCAGACCTCGCCTTTTAGGCGCCGAGCCTAACACCGAAGCGAAAACTTCACGGTGTGTCCTCCCGTGGAACGGCACAGTACCTGAAGGATAGGAAAACAGAAAGCACTATTGCAAAATGTTAGTGGGATTGGAAGATGGCAAACACGCTCAGCGGTAAGATGCGGATCTTGTAAGGATGTGCATCAGGCAGCACCTTCCCAAGCCCTTCTCATCAGCTCCTTAAAAAGGGGGTTCTTGTGTGATCTCACAGGCCAGTACCGGACACCCAGCTTACCATACCATGTGTATGAATCGCAACATACCCGACAGGCAGGTGTAGAGAACGCAGCCGAGGCTCCACATGTCGACCTCCCCCGCATAGGGCCTCCCGCGGATGATCTCAGGCGCCATGTACAAAGGCGAGCCCACCACCCCACACGCCGCTGTCTGCCCGCGCGACAGCGTTGCTGCCAGCCCGAAATCCGCCACCCTCACTCGAATGCCCGTGCAGGGACAGGGAGGAGGTTTGGTTGCAGTGGTGGCGTGAGTGGGAGGAGGGGACGAGCAGAGAGGAGGGAGAGGAGGTGGAGGAGGCGCAAGAGGAGAAAAGGAAGCGGTGGGAGAAGAGGGTGGAAGGGAAAGACGGGGGGAGGAGGGATGGGAGGCGAGAGAGGGGTCTGGTGGCTGGGCGGTTTGTGAGAGGTGGAAAGGAGATGACGGAGGGAGAGCAGGGGAGGGAGATGATGCAGGGAGAGCAGGGGAGGGAGATGATGGAGGGAGAGCAGGGGAGGGAGGTGGTGAGGGAAGCGGGAGGAAGGGAGAGGATGCTGGGAGAGTAGGTGAGGGCGAAGACTGCAAAGAAGTTTCCCTTATGCTGCTCCCTGTGCCGTTACTGCTGCTGCTGCTCCTCCTCCCAGTGCTTGTGCTGCTGCTGCTATGTCTAACAGAAGTAGAGACTGAACTTTTGGAAGCTTCAAGTGACTGCAACGAGGGAGGCGTGGCCACACTGCAAGTCGTATCACTGGACGTGACTGTATTGAAACCCTCCCTGCAATGGGAACATCCTTGGCTCGTGCTGCTGTTCCCCCCAATGCAGTTCCCACTGCTTCTACTGTCAACGCTGGCACTACTACCCTCAATTTCACTGCAGTTGCACTCAGCTACAGTGCAAAGGCCTCTACAAGCACCGGGGCTGCTACTAACGAGTATGTTTTCTGGCTTGAGGTCGCGGTGCACTATGCCTGTGCGATGCATGGCGTGCACTGCCAGCAGCAACTGCCTGAGAGGGGACAGCATGGGGAATAGGAGGCAAGGAGGAGGCAAGAAGGGCAAGGAACAACTGAGAATCCAGCAGTCAGAATGGCCTCCGCAAGGGTAGTGGTGAGTGCGGGTGTGAGGTACTTGACGATTGGTACTCCTGACATGCCCTGTGGCAGGGGGGAAATCAACACAGGGCATGAACAATGGCGAAATCATGCACTCATGAGCGGGCGGGGAGATGGGACGGGGGGAACAAGGGGGGAAAGGGGTGGAGTGGAAGAGGAGAAGGAGGAATGGGGAAAGTGGGTAGGAGGTAAGGGAAGGGATGAAGGGGGGGCGCACGGGGATCACAACAGAACGCCGTGCGTTACCCCTCAACCTTATGTATGCCTGTATTTTCTTGTTTGAGGCGGTGGGATGTTGGTTGAGTGAAGAAAGGGGGGGATTAGAGGACATCAATGGGTTCTGTGGGATGGGCGTGCACCTGAACGCAGCTGCAAGTTGTGCTTCGTTAACTCGTTACTGCTTTATAACGAGGTCAAATAGATCGTTGCTACAGAGGCAAAGGGCGGTGGCGAAAAATGAGGGTGCGTATGCGCCCGGGGATACATACCTGAATACAGCGGCGGCTTGTGCTTCGGTAAGCCGCTTCTGCCTTATAACGAGGTCAAACAGATCGCCACCCGGGCAGTACTCCAGGATGAGATGTAACGTCGCCCTCGTTTCAACCACCACCTCGTACAACCGTACGAACGCCAGCTCCTCCCGCTCCCCATCCGCGCTGCCTGCTCCGCATTCCCCCCTTCCCCGCTCCCCTGCCCCCTGTTCTTTTCCCCCCCGTTCCCCCTCCCCCTCCTGCAGGCGCAGCAGCGACAGCACTTCCGCCCTCAGCTCCATGAGGTCGCTTCGGCGCTGGGGAAGAGGGGGAGGGTGAAGGAAGAAATAGAGAGTTCGGGGGGGGAATGGAGGGGGAATGGGGGTTTGAGGGGCGCGGCGTCTTTGAAGGTACTTGCGCCCCCAAGCTCCATGAGATCGTTGGGGAGCTGGGGAAGAGAAGGGGGGGGGAGGACGGGCGGAAAGGATTAAAAGTGGGAGGGGGGGGGGAGGGGGAAGAGATAGGGTGAGAGGCTCCTTTGAAGACAGCAGCGAGAGAACTTACGCCCTCAGCTTCATGAGATCGAAGGGGCGCTGACGAAAAGGAGGGGGGCGGGTGGGTGGAAGGGGAAACGGGAGTTGCGGGAAGGGACAGGAAAGAAGGGGCAAGGGCGCAGTGACCGCACTTTTTGAGATCGCGCGGACGTTGGGGAAGGGGCAGAATGGGTGCGAAAAGGGTTACGGGAGGGATAAGTGAGGGGGAGGAGGAAGGGGGAAAGGGGGGTATCTTCGAAGGCAGCCGCGGCAAAACCTCCGCCCGCAGCTTCACGATACCACCGAAGAGAGTAGGGAAGAGATGGGTGGGAGGGAGAGAAATAGGCGAGAGAGAAGGGCTCGCTGAGAGCCGGTGATGGCGGAAGGGAGGCCTGGCGCGGCGAATGTAGGGGGCGAGGTTTGGGATGTGACAAAATGATTGTGCGACTCACCCGCACGCCGCTCAGCAGTATCGTCTTGCACGCGAATCGCTCGCCCGTCGCACGGTCTTCGCACAGTCGCACGACCCCGAAGTGGCCGCGCCCCAACTCGCGCCCAACCTCATAAAGCTCCGACAAACGCGGGCAGCGCAACTCATCCGCCAACACGGTGCGCGCTTCCGTGACGTCTGATTGCAAATGAGTGACTGCACTCAAAGCATCGTATGTGCGCAGTTCCCCCGCCGCTGTAGCGGGCGCAGCGCGCACCTCCGCGAGCGGCGTTTGTTTGCGCAAATCTGCTGCTGCGCACAGTTCCGCTTTCCGCATCCTCAGGTCCCCCACGGCTCCGCCACCTTCTGACTCGCAGGCGACGTTGGCGACGCACGCGACGCCTCTGCAAAAACTACCTCTTTCGCCGGCAGCGGAAGGTGTATCGCTTGTCGTCAGTGCAGCCTCAGCCTGCGACGTGGTTTGAGCTAGTGACGGCTGCGAGTCGCGGGTGTTGGGAAGCGTTCCCGATGACGCGGATCCTACAGGGCGCCGGGCGAGAGAAGCCTCGAGATTGACGTAGAACGACTCGAGGCGCTTCGATATTTCCGCGACTGACGCTTCGTGTCGCAACGACAGGCGCACGCTACTGTCGTCCATCTTGATCTGGACTCGTGTCGCACGGATCAAGAATACTTCGATGGTCTATGGTCACAATGCTGTGTACGCAAGTGGAAGGATAGAGTTTCGGCTGCCTTTCTGCTTTAGCGGAGTCCCACTCGCGTCTAACATAATAGTTCGTACAATGAGCAAGGATGTGTTGAGGTCTTGAACTGGGATGTGCACTCTGGCACTGGCACTCGATGTGGCCTGATTTTTCGAAATGGGATTGGGAGGGATTTGACTCATGCGAGGGCGGGTGATGGGTGGAGTGGGGAGGGGAGGGAGCGGAAGGGAAGGTGATGGATGAAATGGGGCCGCGTGATGAAGTCGAAATTAAAATACACGGCGCGTCAGACGTTGTCGCTGGGCTGCCTAGCTATATTTCATAATCACCATCCAAGTCTGAAAACCGGTCAAGGCCAGACCGAAACCAGGCCCGCTAACAAACTTGCAGAACCCGCTAACAAACTTGATTTACCGGCTAATCGACTAAGGTCTAGTGCCATGGGAGGGAAAATGAAGCTCATTCCAGACATGCACTGGCCCAGCAGATAGACCAACGGGCTGCCTGCAACTACACCCCTAGCCTTCTGATTCGCGGCGGGAATGTCAGACACGGAACGGAACCGAACCGCTGAAAGAAACTGCTAGGGGCGGTGGTGAGGTGATGTTCGACGTGGGAGCAGAACAACGAACAACGCACATTGGGAAACCCGCTAAACGAGTGCTCTGTTGTGTACTTGATCACTATCGATTGGGTTTCACCTTATTGTGTATTACAAACCTAGTGCGGAATGGGGTCAGTCACACGGAGGCACATGAGATCCTGGAAGCTGCCACTGACCATTTCAAGGAGGCTTTCGACGATACTACCACGGGTGGGCTGCTGCCGAGTGTGGAGTGGACGCCGAGGAGGGTGCTCGAACGAGCACCAGCGGAGTGTCTAACGAAGGACTGGTCGGAGGAGGAGGTTCAGCAGGCGATCAGGGAGCTGGCCAACGATAAGTCTCCAGGTCGGGACGGCTTGCCCAAGAAGCTGTTCCAGGTTCACTGGGAATTGCTGCGGGAACCGCTGATGAAGATGGTTGGGGAGTTTGTGAAGACCGGTAAGATGCCGGATATTGCGAACGAGGCGGTTACCATCCTGCTATTCAAGAAGGGGGCACAAACGGATATCAGGAATTATCGGCCGATTACGCTTCTGTCAGGAGTTTATAAAATCTTGGCAAAGGTGGTGGCGTCGAGAATGAAAGCAGTGCTGGACCAGGTGATTTCAAACGAGCAATACGGTTTCTTACCTGGAAGGCGGCTAACAGACGTGGTGTCGACGGTGGCGGATATGATTGAAGCGACCCGAAACGATAACAGCGACTGGTATCTGCTTCTGATTGACTTCGAAAAGGCGTACGACTCGGTGCGCAGGGACTTCATGCTGGAGACCATCACCAAGCTGGGTTTTCCCACGCGGTTCGTTAAATGGATACAGGCCCTGCACAGCGATGTACACACAAGGCTGTGCATCAATGGATGGGTAGGAGAGAAGATCACGATGCGGAAAGGCGTGCGGTAGGGCTGTCCGCTGGCGCCTTACCTTTTCCTGTGCGCGGTGGAGCCGTTGAGCCGGATGGTGGATGAAAGGAAGTTGGGTATTGGAGAAGGAGGGTGCGAAAGGGTGTCATACGTAGGGTATGCGGATGATACGACCCTGCTGTTAGAGGGGGAACCACAACTGAAAGAAGCGGGAGCGGTACTGCGGGAGTATGCGGCGGTGTCAGGCTTAAAGGTGAATGCAGGAAAGTCCGCGGTACTGCCGTTGGGGAGGAACGTGGGACAGCAGGCGCCTGATGGGCTGGGATGCTGATGGGTTGGAGAGGATGAGGTAGAGAGACTCCTCGGGGTGTGGATATCACCTGGCGGGAAGGCGGAGGTGACATGGGAGAAAGCGTTTGACAGAGCAGCGGGGGAACTAAGCAAGTGGAGCACCAAGTACCTCACGACGAGTGCACGGGTGACTATTATCAACAGTTACGTGTTGCCGATCTTCCTCTTTCAAGCACAAGTGTACCCGCCGGACGATCTGTTGTGGAAGAGGGTGGAAAAGCTGGTAGAAATTTTCGTGTCCGGCAACCATGCAGATACGGAGCGGCATTTCAGGCTCTGGAGTGGGGATTTGATATATACACCAAGGGAGCAAGGGGGTTAGTGATTGATCCGCGGGGGCGCATAGACAGTGTGGCTCTAAGATGTGCGAGCCTGGCGCTGCAACAGGAGTGTTCGCTCAGGCGGGGTTTATCGGAGAGAGCGGCAGGGCTGCCTCTTGGCTGGGCGACACTATACGCACACACAGCGGTGTTGAGAGGGGGTCTGTTCAAAAGCAGGAGGTGGGCAAGGCTGTGCAAGGCGGTACTGAAATCTACGGTGGTGAAAGTGCCGGAAGCGTCGTCAAGGTGGGAGGCGGAGGAGGAGTTTCTATGTTACAATAAAAACATCATTCACCGCGGGAATGCCCCGTTCGGCGGCCAGAAAGGGACGGAGAAGCTGAGGAGATGGAAGATGCGCGACATGGTCGTGAGGAAGTGGGATGGCACGATGATGCTGAAATCGGAAGAAACGCTGGCGAGGGAGTTAAAGGGAAAAAGGAGGCGGAAATGGCGTTAAAGGCGTTTCACGCGGCACCAGAGCGATGGCGTCAGTGGGTGTTGGCGCCTCTAACTGCAGAGAAGGTAGCGGGGGAATCGCCCGTAGTGTGCACTAAGTTACCGAGTGGGCAGAGGTGTCTCTGGGAGATTGTTGGCAAGATGGGGAGGAAAGTGGAGCTGCGAGGGTTGAGTGGAAAAGGGGAACGCACTGCATGGGACGTGAAGCTGGTGCTGTGCTGTGGCAGCGTGTTGCCGGTGTGGCTCTCCAAAATTCGGGCAGTACGGGAGGTCGGAGATCCGAGAACGCGGTTACTAGCCTCGTCACTGTTTAAGGAGGAGGATGTGGTTCCGCTGAGGGAACTTAGGGAGCCGAGCAAGGGTATAGAAGCGGTGGAGGTGAAGAGGGCGAGTTGGGAGACCAGGGCGGGCAGGAAAATTAACTGGGAGCGAGGGAGAAAGGTCCGTGATTCACCGATGACCCCAGTCAGAGCAAGGGACGTTGTGCTCCGCATACAAAACCTCAACCTACAAGTGGGGGAAAGGGTGCCATTTGTGAAAGGGGGAGTGACGTGTCCGAACTGCGGTTTGGAGGAGACGCTGGAGCACTGTTTACTTGAGTGCAAGAGTGTGGCGCCAGTGGTGGGAGCTATCAAGTCGGCGCTCGGCATGATGCAGCCAGCAAGAAAGGTGGACAGGCTGGCAGATCTCGTGTTTGGAGAGGAGGAGACGAGGTCCGGGTTTCCAGAAGCTACTATGGTGGCAGTGGCGATGCACCAGATTTGGCTGAGAAGGTGTGATGTGTCGCTTCGTAAGGTCAAGAAGTTTCAGGCACGGAAGGTGCTTCGGAGGATCAACGTGGAGTTCAACAAACACGCAAGAATCTACTGTGGCAGACCCAGCAGGCGGGCACGGAAGGATAAGGCGAGGTGGAACTTGGCGGAGGATGAGGCACGTGTCATGCGGAGGATTTGTGACAACGAGGCGGTGGGGCTGAAGTGGCACGAAAGTTTTCAGTCCATCTGGACAAACCCAAGGACTTTTGTGAAGCCACCTTAAAGTTCGCGGGGAGGGCTTGGCTTACGTAAGCCGGCTTGAGCCCGATGAGTCAGTTACGACTGAAGTGTTTTGCTTGTACATGCTATTGTATAAGCTTTCACAAAAAAAAAAAAAAAAAAAAAAATACAAACCTAGTGTGTGAACAATGACAATGACAATGTTGCCATGGCCATGGCCATGGCGGAGAGCTTTAACTCGGCCAATGTGTAACAATTTCTTGTCAGTTCAAGGATTGGAAGCAATCAGGCGATGCACGGCTTTAAGCTATTTGCAACGGTGTCTCTATAGTGTTCATTACGGGAACCTAAACACCAGTTTATTGAGTTCCAGGCTATCGCCAGAGCTACACCTACCCTTAACTCAAGGCTTCACAAGGCAATATCAACAGAGTTATCAGCAACCCCATGGATCCTACCGCGACATACAGTCAGCTCAGGTTTCTGCACACAACAACACCAATGTTTCCAAACAACAAGGCTCCAAATCTTATCCGAGTTACTACTACCAAGGCACTGAGCTATTTTCTAAGGCGTCTTGCACAACCTCTGGTCTTGATCTGCAGCGTTTCGCCTTCAAACATAAGAAGTATAAACCATGGGTCAGCAGTCAGATTGTGCTCAGAACAGCTTGTTTTTCAGCCAGCTCTTGGCTGCCAAGCATTCCTCATCATTGCACCATGGGGAAGGGACGCAACGGCAAGAATGGCAAGAAGAATGCTGACAACGCGCAGGAGAAGGGTGTGACGGACGTACCTGGCATACCTGTGAAGGATCCGGTCGGCGGTGAGAAGTCGTCTACGAACTCAACGCCAGCTACGGTTCTGGGCCCATTTGAAGCTCTCATGGACCTGCCGACCAGTGCTGAGCAAGCTGCAGGTTCAGGCCGGAAAGTGTCAAATGAGAAGGAAGAGTCTGCTGACCATCCGCAAGACCCTGATGCGGAAGGTGTATCTCATGCTGAGGACGCTGCTGATGATGCTGACAATAATGGACAGGACACGCACCTGTCTGAGACGCCTGATGAGGAAGAAGACGGTTAGCTGAGTGATGATTCCGACGAGCATCTGGAGCCGGACTCGCTTAACAGTGTCATTGCTCTTAAGCGATTCTCACTAACCTTGCTGGTGCCTATCCTCAGGAAGGTTGAAGTTAAAAGGGCTGCAGTGACGGTGGCTGCGATGCTAGATGAATGGAAGGAGCTGCTTTCGCCAGAAGTGCTGCAGACTACAACGTACCAGGATCTGACGCCGGCGCATTTCTCAGGCGCGCGCTACGGGAGGTTACAAGTCAACTTCAACAACGT